ACTTTTTTATTGTTGCATTGTGTAGAATCGACTGAATGTTGTTAACCAATCGATTGGTTTGTGCTCCATCCCTTTAAATAACAAAAGTATATCATTTACTTGAGTTTTTCTTTTTTCAAACAATTCATTGTAGTAATTCATTTGTTTTTGATTTAGTAAAGCGAATTGAGCACTTTGCAATTCAGTTTCGGTTTTTGTATTTAAAATATCAACTTTGTTTTTCAAAATAACAAATTCATTCATCACGAGTTCAGTTTCTTTTTCCATATATAATTTTATAGTTTTATCTTTTTAATTAATTTATTTTTAATATTTTGTTTTTTTTCGAAAAAACAAAATGTTTTTTATTTATAATTAACAATATTATATTTTACTATAGTTAAATAAAGAGCCATACTTTTTTATCGAGCCGGACTTTTTTCCACCAACTCTACGACAATTTTCTGGTCGACTTTAGTTAATAATTTTGTTTTATAAAAAAATAGTCAACGTTGAACTAATAATTTCAAATGGATAAAGTTAAACAAAAAAATAATCACTGTTATATTTTAAAACGTCCCACGTCTTTTCTTGGACATTATGTTCAAAAAGAACAACAATGAAATGATAAGTATGTAATTTTTAGATATATTTTTTAAAGGTTTAACAACATTTTAATAACAAATTGAATTTCTAATTACAACAAGGGAGCAGTGGTGCAGAATTCATTGTCACAACAAATATGCTGGAAATTATATGAGTAATAATTTATGATAGCTTAATATAATAAATAATTTTGTTTTTATAAAACGTTTTTTTTAATTCAATAAAATTATTTAATTTTTTTAAATAAATTAAATAGTTTATATTACTATATATTTATTCTAGATATAAATAAACAACATTATTTAAACTAGTAAATTTAATAATTTTTACAAACCTCATTAAAACAAAACATGTCAAAGAGAGTTGATGTGTATTCCATGCAAATTGTTGTGACACATTTTAAGAAATATGACGATTTTCTCAACGTCATTTTGGTATGTAAAAAGTATGAATATATACTTGACCGCATTCGAATGAATCCAATTCAAATCACACCAAAAACAAAAAACCTTTTTAAGTTCATTCAAACTCAGCAGTTTTTTTCTCCTTTTGACATGAAACTAAACATTGAAAAATCATTTTTCAATTATCCAAAATGCGCGAAAGAGTGTCTTGTGGAATTAAAGAATTTTAATAATTGTCCTCTCTCTATTTATACCAAAGAAGACCAAACGTATTTCAACAGCAAAATTCCAGATTTTGTGAGGAAAATAGGAAGCCACTCTTTTGAACTGAGTGATAAAACATCATTGACGTTACCAAATTCCGTTATAGAAATTTCTCAGTTCGCGTTTTCATGTTGCTCAAATATCGAAGAGATAATTCTCCCACCGCATCTGATGCTAATAGGCGAAAATGCGTTTTACAACTGTAAAAAATTAAAAGAAATCAAACTCCCAGATTTGCTCGAGTTTATTCCGGACTCATGTTTTGCTGGATGTACATCGCTATCTTCTGTGAATTTTGGAACAAATGTTACGATGATTGGATATAATGCGTTTCGTGATTGCGCTTTTATTGATTTTTCAATTGAAAAGAAGGTATTAATCAACGAACTTGTTTTCACAAAAAATACACTCACAAAGATCACGTTCTGTGGTAAAAAGTGTATACCGCGTAAAATTTGTTATTATTGTCAACATCTCAAAGAAATTATAATGGACAACGACGTGGAAATAATCGCAGACTCTGCTTTTTCTGAGTGCATTATACTTGAAATAATCACTCTTTCTTCTAATTTGGAATCATTTATCAATCCGCATTTTCCAATTGTCAGAACTTAATAAATTGAAGT